CCATATAATTTAAACACAAGTTATATAACCTAATATTGTATTGTTTTACTTTAAAATTTTTTTTGATGTTTATTTATTTTTGAGAGAGAGAGAGCATGAGTCAGGAAGGAGCAAAAAGGGAGAGAAACACAGAATCCAAAGCAGACTCCAGGCTCTGAGCTATCAGCACAGAGCCCAATACGGGGCCCAAACTCACAGACAGTAAGATCATGACCTGAGCCAAAGTCTGAGGCTAACAGACAGAGCCATCCAGATGCCCCTATATTGCTTTATCTTTATATTGTTTCTTACTTACCTGTGCTTTAACTATCTAATCCTGTGGGTTTTAAAAAAGATTTGTTTGTTTGTTTATTATTTTAGAGGAAGAGAGAGAAAGAGAGCACAAGCCAGGGAAGGGATGGAGGGGGAGAGAGGGAATCTTAAGCAGGCTTCACACTCAGCCTGAAGCCCATCCCAGGGCTTGAGCCCATGACCCTGGGATCATGACCTGAGCCGAAATCAAGAGTCCACCACTCAACCAACTGAGCCACGCAGACACCCCAATCCTATGTTGTTTAACATGAAAACCACTGCCTGTCCTTCCACATGTAGGCAGTAAGATACATATTAAGTGAAACTCACCTGACGCTTTAGGCATGTTCAATGTATTCCAGAACTTAATAAGAAACTCTTGAATGGTAATCTTGCCACTTTCTGTAACACAAATTAAAATTTAGCTGAAAGAATTAGTGCTTCTGAATTAATCTATTAGAAGTTAATAGTCAAATTATAATGAAATGAAAGCCTGGGATCAGCCAGTACTATTCCTTCTTCCTTAACTTCTGCACACATGTGGTTATCAATTTCTATTCAATTATTTCCAAATACTTCTTGAATTTATCACTATGTTAGTTAATGCCTATGCTATTATAATAGCATTGTTAAAAATCTATGGCATTAGTCTCATTTCTCTCCATTTATTTTATTTATTTATTTATTTTTAAATTTTTTATGTTTTATTTATTTCTAGGAGAGAGAGAGAGAGACAGCGTGAGCAGGGGAGGGTCAGAGAGAGAGGGAGTCACAGACTGAAACAGGCTCCAGGCTCTGAGCTGGCAGTCAGCACACAGCCCGACGTGGGGCTCGAACCCACGAACCGCGAGATCATGACCTAAGCGAAAGTCGGACGCTTAACCGACTAAGCCACCCACGCGCCCCTCTCTCTTATTTTAAACAATGCAGCGAGAGGTCTTTCTTTTTAAAAAATTTAGTTACTCTTCTAAATAAAACCCTTCAGTAGCTCCTACTTGCCCCAAAACTAAAAAACAGAACAAAACAAATACATGTTGAGTAGGCAAAGAGGCTATAGACCAATATTCCTTACAAATGTGTTACAGTCCAAGTAAAATTCTAGAAAATAGGATTTAGCAGTTTAACCAGAAATTAAAGTTCTAGATACCTTTAGGACATGCATCCTCATTGAGGATGATAGGCTTTCAAGGAGGAAAACAGGTTCTTGGAGGTGAGAAAATCTTAGCCATTACACTAAGTTTGTGGCCATAGTACATAAGCAAATATTTATTTGTGCCATTAAATATTCATGGAGTGTGGAATGGTGAAAACGACAAAAAATGTCTTAAAAGCCTCCTTAGGGGAGTGATAGTTTTTTACAAGATTAAGAAACACTGCTTTAGGATAATGGTAGCCACCTAAGTTTACTCTGGAGAACTCTAAGAAAAAGGCTTGGAAATCCATAGGACTGAAGATGGCATCTTGATAAGGAACTCAGTGCACAGGATTTGGTGGTGAAGGAAAAGAAAGAAGCAGTTAAAGATGAAGTCCGTACTAAACAGTATCAAAATGTCAGAAGACTCACTACCCCCAACCCCCACTCTCTGCCCCAAATTGTCATTAAAGTAAATGGACTTCACTGTAGACTAAAGACGGAGCTCCAAACTGAATGTGCCACCCAACACCTTCAACTCTTTTAACAAATCAGGATAGAAATGGACAAAGGAAGATTTGAAATGGGAGCTCACAACTCAGAAAATAGATTGTGTAGAAAGACCAAGTCAACTCCAAAATAAAGACTCAAGTCAAGTAAAGGTACACAAGGAAGAATGGATATGACAAAGCTGTAATAAGGGACATAGAGGATAGACATGAAAAGAACAAAAAGGGGAAAAAGGAGGGGAGAGAGAAAGGGAAGAAAAAAACCCAAACCGAAGCAAAAAAAAAAACAAACCAAAACAAACAAACATAAGCAAAAACAAAAAGAAACAAAAACCAAGTTTAGAGCAGAGGTGACAGAGCCCAGAAATAAACCCCACATATATGCTCAACTAATATTTGCAAGGCAGCCCAGAACAGTCAATGGAGAAAGGATGGTCTCTTCAATAAACAGTGTTGGGAAGCTGGATAAGCATATCCAGAAAAATGAAATTAGACTTCCATTTTACACTACTCACAAAAATTACCTCAAAATAAATTAAAGATTTAATTGTAAGATCTGATACTGTAAAGAAAACATAAGGAAGCAGCTTTCAGACACTGGTCTTGGTGATGAATTTTTGGACAGGACACCAAAAGCACAAACAACAAAAGCAAAAATCAACAAGCAGAACTATATCCAACTTAAGATTTTTCTGTTTTTAAATGTTTATTTATTTTTAAGAGAGAGAGACACAGAGCATGAGCAGGAGAGGGGCAGAGAGAGAAGGAGACACAGAATCCGAATCAGGCTCCAGGCTCCAAGCTGTCAGCACAGAGTCTAACGTGGGGTTCGAACTCATGAACCATGAGATCATGACCTGAGCTGAAGTTGAAAACTTAACCAACTGAAGTTGGACACTTAACCGACTGAGCCACCCAGGTGCCCCAGAACCACATCCAACTTAAAAGCTTTTGCACAGCAAAAGAAACAATCAGCAAAATGAAAAGGCAACCTACAGAATGAGAGAAAATATTTGCCAACTGTATATCTGATAAAGGGTTATTATCCAAAATATATAACAAAGAATTCATACAACTCAATAACAAACAAGCAAACAAACTATTTAAAAAATGGGCAGAGTAACTGAATAGGCATTTCCCCAAAGAAGACATCCAAATACCCAAGAGGTGCATGAAAAGGTGTTCAATCATCAGGGAAATACAAATCATAACCACAATGAGATATTGCTCAAACCTGTTAGAATGACTATCATCAAGAAGACAAGAGATAAGGGTTTGTGAGGATGTGGAGAAAGGGAACTGTCATGCAATGTTGGTGGCAATGTAAATTGGTGCAGCCACTACGGACAGTAGTATAGAGGTTCCCCTCAAAATTAAAAATAGAACCTCCATATGAACTATCAATCCCCCTTATGAGTGTATATTCAAAGGAAATGAAAACAGGATCTTGAAGACATACTCCCATGTATATTGCAGCACTATTCATAATAGCCAAGATATGGAAAGTGTCCATCAACAGATGAATAAACAGATGTGTTGTGTGTATATATGTATATATATCAGATAAAGGGTTATTATCCAAAATATATAATGAAGAATTCATACAACTCAATAACAAACAAGCAAACAATTTTAAAAATGGGCAGAGTATCAATATATATATATATATATATATATATATACACACATACAACTATATATACACATACAACAGAATAGTTTTCAGCTATGAGAAAGAAAGAAATCCTGTCATTTGCAACAGCATGGATAGATCTTGAAGTCCTTATGCTTAGAGGAGATAAGCCAAAGACAAATGCTGTATGGTGGAATCTAAGAAAGTTGATCTCATAGGCAGAGAGTAAAATGGTGATTACCAAGGACTTGGGGGGGGGTGGTGAATTGGGGAGATATTGTTAAAAAGTACAAATTTGCAGTTAGGAAGATGAATAAGTTCTGGAAATATAATGCTGTGCTGATCTAATACTGTATTACATAATTAAAAGTTGCTAAGAGACTAGATCTTAAATGTTCTCACCACAAAAAAAGAAATTGTGGTTATAATTATGTGATGTGATGGAAGTGTTAGATAACATTATGGTGATAATCATATTGCAATATATGAATGTATCAAACCAACACATTGGACACCCTAAACTTGCATAATGTTATATGCCCATTATATCTCAGTTTTACAAAAAGGAAAAGAAAAACTCTGGGGAGACAGAGTCGGGGGAAAAAAGCTCTAAGTCACTAATATTGAGAATGAAAATGAAGATATCATTACAAATGGGGCAGACATCAAAAAAGATAAAAAGCACATGTCAAGGACAACTTCATCCGATATATTTAAAAAGTCAGATGAAATGGACAAATTTCTATAAAAACACAGCCTGCCAAAATTAACAAGAAAATAGAATATTTTTTGTTATCCCATACAATTTAGGAAATTAAACCAATAATCCAGAACTTTTCCATAAATAAAACTCTAGGTCCATAAGGCTTCACCTGTGAGTTCTGCTTAACATTTGAGGAAGAAAAAATCTCTTACAGAGACCAGGAAAGTAAAGAATACTCCCCATCTCTTTTGAAAATGTAGCAAAGATGAGATTCAACAATCTCAACATTAAAATAATTCAACATTAAAATAATGAAGTTATTTTGTACATTTATAAAAATCTGCTTCCCTAAGCCAACGTCATGTGCAACATCCCCTGAGATATGGATATCAGCATAGTTTACCTTCCAAAGGGTTAACACCTGGTAAAGGGCCTCAAAGACTCTGTTGTACTCTGTGTATGGCATTCTGATTGAATACTGCCCGTGCTAGTCAGCTGACAAAGTAAGCTCATCTCCCAAGTACTACCACCCACATGGATAAAGTAGGCCCAGACTCACCCTTCTGTTTGGTTTCACAGAGCTCAGACTTGGCACACTATGGTGGCACTGGTGCTCACCAGTTATCTCACTACAGCCCCACAGGGTGCCCTCCATTGCTGTATACCCCCAACCATACATCTCCCACCCCCACTGGTAGATGATAGCCTTTGCAAATAGATGCATTCAAACTACTAACCATGTTCAGGTCCATGTCCTAATACTTCATTAAGTAAAATATTAGCTGCATAAAAGTCATTGTTCATCAATAATGACTTGAGGTCAGAGACATCAATTAGATCATTCTGGAGAATTTGGGTAACAGCTAAGAGTAGCTGTGTAGCTAAAAAGAAAGAACAAAAACATGCTTCAACAGCAGAAATAAGAATATATTGCTCACTTTCATTTAATAGGCTTGAGTTGAAGAAAAGAATTTTACATGAAATTACCAGTACAGTTTTAAAAACCATTGTGTATTATAAGAACTAGCAGTTAGTGAAACCTTACTAAGTGCTAGAGACTAATGTAAGTACTTCTACTTTACCTATTTAAGCCCTATAGTAAATCCCAAGATAGGAATTATTATCACCATTTTTCAGATGAAGAAACTGAGGTGAGATTTTTTTTAATGTTTATTTTTGAGAGAGAGAGACAAACAGAGAATGAGTAGCAAAGGGTCTGAGAGACAAACAGAATCCAAAGCTGAAGCTAACAGGCTTCAGGTTCTGAGCTGTCAGCATAGACGTTGGGCTCAAACTCACAAACCACAAGATAATGACCTGAGCAGAAGTTGGACGGTTAACTGACTAAGCCACCCAGGTGCCCCAAGGTTAGTGAGATTAAGTGATTTACTAAAGAATATGCTGGTATTAAGTGGCAGGGCCAGAATTCAAGTTCAGGCACTATAGTTCCAAAGTCAATGCTCTTAACTACTGTGCCTTTCAAGTAGACTTATGTAACTGGTCAACCTACATTATGCCTATAGCTACATAATACTTCATATATGGCCCCTGGAATAATTGTGAAGCATTACAAATAAGTTTACATCAAAACTATATTGCATTATTTTACTTAAAGTTATGTTACGGAGACAAAATAAGAAGCAGCAGTTGTTGAAAGTCATGCTCTTTGTATTTATCTTATAGCCCCACAAATCCTGATAGCCTTGGTTGCCTTCCAATGCCTTCAAATAGTTGTGGTTGGTGATGCTGTTTAATTTAGTCCAGACTTTACCAGTTATTCTCAGCAAGAGGGTTGGTTTCACATAAGCTACTCCATTATGGCCAGAAGTAGAACCAAGTAACTCAAGCTTTATAGGTAATTTTGATGCTCTGCTCTGGTTGAAAATTACTGTTTAGGTTATTACTTTACTACAAAGCTATACTGATCAAGACCATGTGGTACTGGCATAAGAACAAATAAAAATCACTGGAATGGAATTGGGAGTCTAGAAATAAATCCATACATATATGATCAACTGAGTTTTTACAAGGGTGCCAAAACCACTTAATGGGGGAAAGAATAATCTTGTCAATAAATGATGCTGGGGTAACTGGCTATCTGCATGCAAAAGAATGAAAGTGGACTCCCATCTTACACTACATATGAATATTAACTCAAAATGAATCAAAAATTGAAATTAAAAGGCTAAATAAAACTATAAGACTCTTAGAAGAAAACAGTGTAAATCTTGACGATTTGGATTATCTTTAGACATGATATCCAAAGAAGTGATAAAAGAAAACATAAACTGGATTTCACCCAATTTAAAAACTTTTGTGCTTCAAAGGACACCACCAAGAAAGATAAAAGACCCATAAAATGGGAGAAAAGATTTGCAAATCATCTGTCTGATAAAGCTGTAGTATCCAGGATATAAGAACCCTAACAACTTGACAGATAACCCAATTTTAAAATAAGCAAAGGATATATATCTCCAAAGAAGATATACAAATGGCCAGTAAACACATATCTATGTCATTAGCCATCAGGGAAATGCAAAACCAAGCCATAGTGAGATACTTGTTAGACTAGGCTATAATAAAAAAGTGTTGACAAGGATGTAAAGAAATGTATATTGCTGGTGGGAATGTAAAATGGGACAAATGTTTTGGAAAATGCTCCAGCAGTTCTTCAAGTTGAATGTGAAGTTACCACATGACCCAGGAATTCCATTCCTAGGTACGTACCCGAGAGACATGAAAATGTACATTCACACAAAAACGTGTACTCAAAAAAAATGTACACACATGCTTATAGCAGCATTATTCTTAGTAGGCAAAAAACAGAAGCAACCCAAATGTCTATGAACTGATAAAGAAATATACCAAAATATGGTATAACCACAGAATATCATTCTATCACAAAAAGGAATAAAGTACTTGTTTATGTTATAATATAGATAAACTTTAAAAACAGTATGTTAAATGAAAGAAGTCAGACACAAAAAGCCACATATTATACTATTCCAGTTATACGAAATGTTCAAAATAGGCAAATCAATACAGATAGAAAGCAGACTAGTGGATATCAGTAGCTGGGGAGAGTGGGGAAATAACCACTAAAGGGTTCAGGGTTTCTTTTTGAGGTGATGAAAATGTCCCAGAATTAGAGTGTGATGATTGCACGACTTCGTGAATAGACCAAAACCCACAGAATTGAACACCTTAAAAGGATGAGATTTTATGGTATGTGATTTATAGCTCAGTAAAAATGTACATCTGATAAATAATGCCATTGATTATAAAGGTGTTCAAATTTTAGAGATATTAAAATGTGAAAAAAAGCACAAGATTTGCCATGAAAAATGTGGAAAAAAAAGACATTTGTTTCACCAATGCATTGTTGACAGTGGTGTCTGCATCTGTGGGGACTTCTTTGGTAGGTGTTCTCTGTGGACATGGGGGTTTAGGGAAAGATGCTGGTGTTGCAATGGTTTCCCTAATTTTGAGGAGGAACATCGTAACTTTGGGGACAAAGATCAAGCAATTGTCTTTCTACAGCAGGGTCAGGATGATGTGGTTAAGGCAACAGAGATGAAATGGCAGTAAGCATGATACAGGGATTAACGGCACAAGGATTTAGAGAAACTAGTTAGTTGAAGTTAAGATTTCTATAAATGAAATCAATAGGCAGTCCAGTTGGGTAAACTTGAAAACTCCAGAGGCCTGACTTGAGACAGCACAGCAGAAGGTAGTGATCCATCACCCAATTTCCACACCTGATTTAATTCTTATCCAGAACCCCTTGAATGAAGAAAAACTTATCTCCTCTTGAGAAAGGGCTTTGTATTAACAGCAAAGGTATTTATTGTATATCTCCTTCTACTGTTTTATTTCTTTTCCTTCCTTTATAACTTTGCCCCGTTTTCCTCACTTGTTTTTTATATTCTCCTATTATTTATATTGCATAAGCTGCTTGAAATCCTTTTTGAAACTATAGACTACAAATAAAACATCTGAAATTCATTTAGTGATTTTTTATGGGATTTAATTATCTTTATTTTACGGTCACTTCTTTGAACTGGGAGTATTCACTTACCTATGGACTCTTTGAAATGTGGACTTTCCTTAATTCTTTCAAAGAAATCTTTTAAATTCACCTCATTATTGTCTGGAAAAATCAAAATCAAGCACATTGTCATTAAAACCCTGCTACTCAGTTGGTACATAAAATAAAGGCTCTGATTTACAATTCCAAAAATTCCATTCTACCTAATTTTCTCTCTCAAATGACTGAAACTATTTAAATATAATTTTTCATACTTCCATGAACCACCCATTGAACAGTTAATGATATTAATAGTTTACTTTTTTGACTTCTTACTCAAAAGTAAGAACTTAAAATAACTTTTGAGTTCCTTATATATACTAAGTATCCTTTAATGATGCTTTACATTTATTAACAAAAATCTGCACAAGAATTCTATAACATGGCTATGCTTGATATGCCTATCTTTAAAAGATGAAAGCAAAGAGAAATTACATAACTTGTCTAGGTCACAAGAGCCAGAAAGTGCTAGAGGCTATATTTGAACAGGCAGTCTAAGGCCAGAGATGATGAGGTTACATATTGGTACACACACACACACACACACACACACACACACACACGAATAAAAATGCAGTAATGTAACCACAGCTATATAGGGCTATAACTACATTAAAAAGACTTTAACCTATAACAAAATGGCAAGCTGGGTAGCAAAGGAACCATTACACTACAAATTCCTAAAGATGCTGTATGACATACTTTACTCTATCAATGCATGACCAAGTTATATGAAAAGGAAATAATAAAACCTTAAGTGGGCACAGAGTTCCAGAGGAGAAAACCAAATGAGTACTAAGCCTACAGCTATATGGGGATACATATCAGATCCAAAGGTGGCAAGGTGCTTGATTTAAATGCTCATGCATATTCATAAATGAAAACTTGAGTCCTACTACATGGAGAGTTTGAAATTAGATACCAAATGAAATGGGGATGATTAGAGAATTTCAATCCAGTGAAAGGGAGATTGAAATATTTACTCACTGGCCCAGGTAAACACCAAGGAGACCTAAATCTTCCCAATTTTGAGAGGCAGTGGGAAAAAAAGATCACCTGTGAAAAATCTCCTGTATCTCATGTGGGCTTGGAGTCTAAATTTATACCACTCTCATGATATGAAAAACCCCAGGTCAAAGCATAAAAATTGATCGAGGTCAATAATAATCTAGGGTACCTGGCAAAAGCAATAACCAACAGGGCTGGGGAGGTACTCTTACCCCTAAGACACATGGGATTTCCATAGAAAAAACCAAGCTGGTTAAGATAAACCCCAAATAAAAAGCTGTCTAAAACCAGTGAAACTCACCAATTTCTAGAAGTATTCCCCCCCATGATTTGACACTTAAAGAGTGAATGTAAACAGGAAAGGAGATCAAGTACATATTATGTGAAGTCAAAGATGGAAAACAAAGATAAATATATGCCCACTTGGAAACAATAACCAAAATTAAATAATTATTCTTCTAAAATGTAATGAAGCTTTGGGTAGTTCCTTTGGTTAAAAAACAGGATGGGATGAGCAAAATAAAAAGTGAAAGTGGATCTCCTCTGAAGAAAGACTGCAGATCAAAATGAAGTTGCTGGTATTATGTCTTTATTTTACTATATAATGGTATTTTCACACCCATGCTTATAAGAAATGAATGGTAATTATCTAAACAAGCATATGTAGTATCCAGATGAGTATGAACAGTCAGTAAATATTTAAATTAGCAGACTACTTTGACTCTAATCTGTATCAACCTAAGTCTTCATTGTGACTGCCTTTAGCACTTTACCTCCATATAAAATGCTCTAAGACTGGTTCCCATATACAGGGCCAAATAAGAAGAATCTCAAGCCAAAAAAAATGCTCACCACTGATGCCGCAACATTTAAGGGCTTCACTGATGTCCTCCTCAGTTAAATTAACATTCAAACTTTTCAGGGCATGCTCCAAGTTACGTATACCAATCTTACCATTATCAACACTTGTCAAGATATGAGCAGCTTCTTTAATCTCTACAAAGATAAATATATATATATAATTATTATTTTTAAAAATGCAAAATAATTTGTGGAGCCCATTAGGTGAACTCTCAATTTAAGTATATATATTTAACTAAAATCTCTGCAGAAAAAAAGCAAAATATTTTCTACTTGTAACTGACAACAGATTTATTTCAAGAAGGATTTAAAACCAAAAAAATTAGGGGTGCCTGAGTGTGCCAGTCAGTTAAGTGTCCAACTTCAGGTCAGGTCATGATCCCACGGTTCCTGGGTTCAAGCCCCGCATCAGGCTCTGCGCTAACAGCTCAGAACCTGGAGCCTGCTTGTCCAGATTCCATGTCTCCCTCTCTCTCTCTCTGTCCCTCCCCAACTCTCTATCTCTCTCAAAGATAAACATTTAAGGAAAGAAAATAAATAAACCCAGAAACTGATGTGCTGAAGAGAATATGATGGGTTATTTGAATCCATTCCTCCATTAAATACTGAATAAGCTGTAACCCTTTCTTAAATAATAGTAATGTCCTGTACATGTAGATCTAAAGATTTCTATCAACTGATAAAGTAAACAAAAAAATGCTAAAATTTGAGATTAAAGCTCTTGATCCCCAGGGCCACTATCAGTTTATATTGTGTTTTTGTGTGAACTAGAAAAAGGCACCCCTCTCTATTCATCAATTACAAAGAGAAACACCTTCCTCTCCTCTAGGTAGCTGCCATCTAGCACTGGTGGTCCCAGCCTGGAGAGAACAGTGGAATATGGAGTGTGTTTCAGTCTCTCCTTGGACCCTCTCAACCAGGCATCTTTGTGCAAGGCACAACCCATACAACCAAATGTAGTCCTGTTGATACCACACCAATTTAAAATTTTTTTTTAATGTTTTTTATTTATTTCTAGGAGAGAGAGAGAGAGAGAGACAGTGTGAGCAGGAGAGGGTCAGAGAGAGAGGAGTCACAGACTCCGAAACAGGCTCCAGGCTCTGAGCTGGCAGTCAGCACAGAGCCTGACGCGGGGCTCGAACCCACGAACTGCGAGATCATGACCTAAGCGAAAGTCGGACGCTTAACCGACTAAGCCACCCAGGCGCCCCGATACCACACCAATTTAAAATATAAAACATGATCATTACTAGATGTTTCAATTTTTGTCAATACTATTTCTCACTCCATGCCTCTTTCAACCCAAAACTGAACTTGTCATGTATGTTTCCATAGTGTGAAAATTGTTGCATTATACCAACAGATCTAAACCTTCACTTGGAAAGAATACCGTAATAGCATTTGAGACCTATATTCATTCTACTAACATTTATTTTATAGCTACTAAGATCAACAATGAAAATTTCAGCCCTTCCACCAAAGAGTTTTCTGTAAATCCTTGAAGACAGGGACTGAATTTGTCATTATATAGTTGGTACTATGAGAAAAATAAGTGCAAGATATGACAGCACTGAGACAGTGCACCTAACCTACAACCCTGAAAAGTCGTATGGGTTGAAGAGTGATGTTTGAGCTGAGTCTAGGGAAAGAATGTGAATTTGTTTGATAGGAAATGTACAGAAAGGAAACAACACATGCAAAGATGTGGAACCAATATAAATTAAAATAAGTAATATGGTTACAGAATAAATAAATGCAGAAGTGAGAGATGAGGCTAATGAGATATGAAGACAGATGTATTGTCATTCTTCTATTTCATAAATATTCACAATTATATGTTAATAACATAAAAGATTTGAAACAATGCCTAGCACAGTAAATATTATATAATATTAACTATTAAATTAGCCAATACTAATAGCTTCTGAAAGCCAAGATTGTGCTAGGATCTGGAGAAACAATGCTAGGATCTGGAGCAAAATGGAGACATGGTTCTTGGCCCAATGAAGCCTTCAGGAATATAAGAAAAACAATCATTAATCGAATAATCAAAAATATGACTAGAAAACAATCAGATTTTAACATGGGAAAAGGACATAAATAGACAGTTTTCTGAAGAAGATATACAGATGGCCACCAGACACACGAAAATGTGTTAAACATCACTAATCTCAGGGAAATGCAAATCAACATAGCCATGAGATACCACCTTACACATGTCAGAATGGCTAAAATCAAAAACATAAGAAATAACAAGTGCTGGCAAGGATGTGAAGAAAAAGAAGTTCTTGTGCACTGTTGGTAGCATATAAATTGGTACAGCTGATGTGGAAAATAGTATGAAGGTTTTTCAAAAAGCAAAAATAGAAATACTTTTTGACCCAATAATTTCACTACTGGATATTTACCCAAAGAGAACAAAAATACTAACTCAAAAAGATACATGCACCCCTATGTTTATTGCAGCATTATTTATAATAGCCAAAATATGGAAGTATCTCAACTATCTGTCAATAGGTGAATGAATAAAGACGTGGTATATTACAGAATACGACAAAACCATGAAAAAGGATGAGATTTTTTTTTTCCATTTGCAACAACATGGATGGACTTAGAGGGTATTATGCTAAGTGAAATATGTCAGACTGAGAAAGACAAATACCATATGACTGCACTCATGTGGAATCTAAAAAACAAATTTTAAAAAGAAGCAAAATCACACCTATAAATACAGAACAAACTGATGGTAGCCAGAGAGAAGGGGAGACAATGGGCAAAATGGGTACAGGCTTCCAGGAAGGTAATGACTATGTCATGGGAATAAAAGACACAGGAAAGGGAATATAGTCAATGATATTGTAATAGCATTGTATGGTGACAGATAGTAGCAATGTTCACAGTGAGCATTAGCAAAATGTATACAGAAGTTGAATCACTACACCTGAAACGAATATAACACTGTACGTCCACTGTACTCAAATAAAAAATTTTTAATGAAAAATTATATTTTTGGGGGGCATCTGGGTGGCTCAGTGAGTTAAATGTCTGGCTTAGGCTCAGATCATGATCTCGTGGTTCATGAGTTCGAGCCCCATGACAGGCTCTGGGCTGACAGCTCAAAGACTGAAGCCTGCTTGGGATTCTGTTTCCCTCTCTTTCTGCCCCTCCCCTGCTCACATTCTGTTTTTCTGTCTCTCTTTCACTCTCTCTCTCTCTCTCAATAAACATTAGAAAATTTTTAAAAAATTATATTATTTTTGTCTTAATGAATTAAGATGATTTAAAATTCTCTAATATTTTTGTTACTTGTTTTCTAAGTAAGCTCTACACCCAATGTGGGGCTTGAACTCATGACCCTGAGATCAAGAGTTGCATGCTCTACCAACTGAACCAGCCAGTTGCCCCTATTTTTGTCGCTTGTTAAGGTAAAATATACTGAGCATTTCTAGTCTCATTTAAAAATATGAATGGGTATTTATAATATGAAATAATAAATGCTATGAAAAATACATGGTTTAATAAAAGCACATAAGAAAAGAAGCTGACCTAGACTAGCAGATAACAATAGACTCCCTAGAGGACATTGACATTCATTTGAATGATTTTTAAATTAAAAAAATTATTTTATTTTATTTTTGAGAGACAGAGAGAGAGAGACAGAGCACAAGCAGGGGAGGGGTCGAGAGAGAGGGAGACACAGAATCTGAAGCAGGCTCCAGGCTCTGAGCTGTCAGCACAGAGCCCAATACAGGGCTCTAACTCACAAAATGCAAGATCATGACCTGGGCGAAAGTCAGACACTTAACCAACTGAGTCACCCAGGCGCCCTGTCATTCATTTGAAAGATGAGTAAACATTAACTAGGCAGAATGTCAGGAAAAATATTCCAGGGAGCAAAATATGCAAAAGCTTTGTTAGTTGGAGGAAAAGAAAGTATCTAAGGAAATGAAAGAAAGCCAATGTACTTGAAAATACAGAAAGCAAGGGTGATGGTACAAAATCATGCTAGAAAGCTAGGACATGCAGGATTTTGATCTTTAACAACAATGGAAAATGTTTAAAGAGTTGTAAATAGGGGAACATAACATCATCATATTACTCTGGCTGGAGTGGGAAAAATGGACTAGGAATCCATTGGCACTTGGCAATGACCCTAAAAAATAACTCTCATAGGGAATGTTTTATTGTATCCATATGTAAAGTCCTTACCATCTGCTGTTGGTAGTTTCAGATTTGAAGACAAAACCTCTTTCCTAAAATCTGCAAATTTAAATAGAGAGATTTGCCATAAGGAATAGCATCCTGATTTTACCCAGTTTGGAAGAAAACCAATGGATAGATTATAAACTTCATTTCTCAGTAACATTTATCATTGACCATTCCCTTCTTTTCAAAATCTTCCACTAGCTCCCAGCATAACATCCTCTACTCATCTTCTTCTTACTTCTTAGACTCCATGGATTTGTCAACCTCCACCAAGCTCCTTAAATATGGCTGAGATTCTAATGTTACAAATGCTCCCTTTTTCCCTAAGAGAGCAGCTTAATCCCCAGGCTCATATATTCAATAAAATGTTTAATTATTAGTCTGAATTATCCTTCTCTAGTTCTGCTTGCCTACCTTTCTATCTAATCCTGGAGCTTGTCCTTTGGACAAGGCATAGTTATACCCTTCATCCTATACACTTTCTACAAAAATGCAAATTGATACAGAGATCTATTTGAGGGACAAGTGATAGACCTAAAATATGTCCATTTGCACAGATGGACCATATTGCAGTTAGAGAGCAGTTGAGAATAACTCAAAACTAGTGCAGGTATTACCTTGAAACAAAAGGAGGTTAGAATAAAGATACATTATATTTACATTAATTTTTAAAATTTGCTCTAAGCAGGATTTAAAAAAAACAACAACTAACCTATTAAAAAGTACTCCAAAATAGCAGGTTTGGTAATTTTACAAGATAACTCTAAAATAGGATTTCTCAACTTCAGCAAAATTACAGTTGGGGCCAGGTAATTATTTGGGGGGTGCTGTCCTATACATTATAGGGTGGTTAGTAGCATACTTCGTGTCTACTCACTAGATCCCAGCCTTCCTCTCCCATCAGTTTTGACAACCAAAACTGTCTTTGCACATCGCTAGTTGTTCCCTGAAAGGCAGATCTGATCTTATTTTTTAGCCGAAGCTAAATTTAAAGGCAGGAGATGGTTTTCCAAGTATGGATGAAATCCATCTGGGTATATCCCAGATAAGAATATGAATGGGTCAGGTAAATTTTTTGTAAGTAGAGCAAATAGCAGCTCAACACTTATACAGAGTGTTATATAGACCAACGTTGTAACTGTTCAACAATAACTTGTATTTTCCAAAGGGCTTTTTATCTAAAAAAAAAGAAAGCTAGAAAACGATTAAGACCTTTCTAAAATTCATAAAAGGAAAGGGATTAACTTTGAAATGAAATTACTCTAAAAAGAAGCATTTTAAAGCCATAAAACAATATATATAAATACTTTCAGACCAACTTTACAATCCAGTCCAGGAGATCATCCAGGAATTTGATATTGTAATAACTAAATATCTGTGGATATAGAATATAAGGCATATCTCTAAATCTGATCTGTAGTAAATTGCATTTCAATACATTTACAATACTATCTAGGAACTAAGTATTAAGATTTAATTCGTATTTGGTAAAATATTATAAAACCTTGGACACAATTTTAGAAGAAATTTTTATTACAAGTTGCTAGTTGTTTGTTCAATCAACTCACCGTCAAGCAAGGAATCATCTAGCACTTCTCGAAGACGGTCATCAGTGAAATAACTTCTACTGGTGTTTCCAAGTACATCTGCATACCTGTCCTTGTCAGACTGATCACTGTCTTCCATATGATCCAAGGTATCGATGATGTCTTTCAATGCTACAAACACAGAGAATATCCATGCAACATGTAATTCAGTCCATGGATCTAAATTTTTGGAACACAGAAGTAACACTGATGGACTCTTTCAGTTTTGCACCGTCCAAAATGACAGCCACTACCCACATGGGGCCATTTAAAAAGATAGAACAATCCATTTTCCACTATATAGTTTTCCATACTCCCTTATCTTTATTCTTGAAATTGTTTTGTTTAAACTTAGGGTTCTGCGTGGGTTATTCCTTTATGAACAAAAATGTATGCCAAGGTTTCTTTAGTTATTCTATCAATAAACTCACCGTTTCAATAAAAAATACCCTCCATTCTTCACAATTGCTCCCAAACTCCAAACCCTCCCTTTCTACTTTCTTTCTCTGTACCCCTTGCCCCTGTCAGCTCACTTTACCCAATTTAGAGAATCAGAAAAGCCTATTATGTTTCGCACAATAACATCAAACATCTGGGCTAGGAAATCCATGACTGACCCTCCTTAATTAAAACAAACAAACAAACAAACAAAACCATTCACATTTCTAAAGTACATATCTAAAAAATCATCTCTCAGGATTCATTAAGAGAAATGTATAGTAAGTTACTTTAAAATTAGCTAAGTTATGTAAAAGTATAATTTGATACACTGAATTTTTCAATGATTTAGTCATTAGTCATTGGTAAGAAGTTTCAAGAATAGGCCATGTGAGGAAGGGTTGAAGGGAAATCTGAGTCCAGAGAAAAGATGATTCAATGTGAAAGAGAGAAAATATAAGAGCTCCCCTCCCATTTCTGGAAGGCTACTGACAGGGAAGAGTCCAAATGTTAAGTTTGAGAATGGAATTATAAGGCAGGATTTCCATCAAACATGTGGAATAATTGACCAGTTCCACAGCTGCCCAAAAATTATGCAATAGGTTGCTTCAAAAAATCATAAGAATTTCCAAGACAAACAGTAGGATGAGTCTACATTACCGTTAGCCTGTCCCTGAAACCCACCAAAGTGGTTTTGAAATAAACGTGTAAAAATCAAAGAAACTCCATATGTAATGAACATGGAACAATCAAATACTCTACTATAGGCCTCATTCTGTGATCACAGTAAAGTAAAATTAAAAATAAACAGCAAAGATAGGACAATAATGAAATTCAAATTATTTAAAAAATTTTCAAATAATTGCTTTAAAATTTAAAGTTTTCTCTTAAGGGTGCCTGGGTGGCTCAGTTGGTTGAGTACCAGACTTTGGCTCAGGTCATGATCTCATGGTCTGTGAGTTTGAGCCCCGCATCTGGCTCTTTGCTGACAGCTCAAAGCCTGGAGCCTCCTTCAGATTCTGTGTCTCTCTTTCTCCCCACTCCGCCCCCACTCATGCTGTATCTCTGACTCTCTCTCAAAAATAAATAAATGTTAAAAATATTTTTTTAATAAATAAAAAAGTTTCCTCTTAAGGAACTCTTACATCAAGGAGGAAATCAAAATACAACTGAAAATACTTAGAAAATAACGATAATAAACAAAGACTGTTAGACAAATCAAAGTCTTACTGAAATGAAAATTGATAGTCTTAAACATTTATTTCTCAGTAAGAAAAAAAAGTATGATAATAATTTAAACAACTTAGAAAAACTATAAAAATGGGCATAAGGGAACAATAGAGAGAACTTTGCAAAGATAAAAGCAGAATTTTTAAACTATAAATAGAAACACTAAAGATAAATCTAAAAGGTAGAGCTTTAAAAAGAGAGATAATTAAAAGATCTGCTAGTAAATAAACAGATATATATATATATGAATATAGATATACACATACACACATACAAATATATGTACAAATTTAAGAATTAGAAAATAACCAGATACAAAAAACCATAAGAAATATCACTGCATTGGATTGTACTAATATTCCCAAAAAACACCTGAATAAAATAAATTTCGTAGGAGAATAAAAATTACCAAAACTGACAACATAAGACAGAAGATGGAAAAAAGTAATCCACCAAAATCGAAGTCAAAGATGAATAATAAACTAGAAAAAAAAATGGCAATAGATGAGACAGAACATGAATGTCCCTTATATCTAAAGAGATATTTATAAATTCATAAGAAAAAGACAATCTAATTAAAATATAAACAAAGCACATTCAATAATCATATGAAAACTATGTTTTACCTTACTAGTCATTAAAGACATGCATATTAAAGCAATAATAAAATTCTTTCACCAGCAGAATATTCGATAAATATCCATTATTGATAAAAGTGTGAATTTTTACAACCCTTTCAGAGGATAATTAAGTGGTAGCTGTTAACATCTCATATTGGCATATATTTTGGTCTAGCAGTATGACTTCTGAGGAATTTATCCCCCAGGCAAACTTTGTGCAATACATACATATAATGAACTTTATCAAAATGTTTGAATGGTGAAAAATTGGCAATTACCTAAATATCACCAAAAGTATTGTGGATAAAATTATAGTATACCCCCAAAATGGAATATTATGCAGTCTTTAAAAAGAATGAGGTAGTTTATGATATAATGGAACAATATCTAAGATACACTGTTAGCTTCTTTTTTTTTTTTTAATGTTTTATTTATTTCTAGGAGAGAGAGAGACAGCGTGAGCAGGGGAGGGTCAGAGAGAGAGGGAGTCACAGACTGAAACAGGCTCCAGGCTCTGAGCTGGCAGTCAGCACAGAGCCCGACGCGGGGCTCAAACCCACGAACTGCGAGATCATGACCTAAGTGAAAGTCAGACGCCCAACCGACTAAGCCACCCAGGCGCCCCATCACTGTTAGCTTCTTTTAAAAAAGCAAGTCGTGGACTATTATGGACATGGTAATTTAATTAATTGATTGATTGATTTAAGAAAGAGCGAGAATAAGCAGGGACAGAGAGAGAGGAAAACAGAGGACCTGAAGTGGGCTCTGTGCTGACAGCAAAGAGCTCAATGTGGGGCTCAAACTCATGAACTATGAGATCATAATCTGAGCCAAAATTGGACACTTAACCAACTGAGACACCCAAGTGCCCCTAATGTTTAAATAATAATTTCAGGGGCACCTGGGTGGCTTAGTCGGTTAAGCGTTCGACTTTCGCTTAGGTCATGATCTCGCGGTTCGTGGGTTCGAGCCCCGCGTCGGGCTCTGTGCTGACTGCCAGCTCAGAGCCTGGAGCCTGTTTCAGTCTGTGACTCCCTCTCTTTCTGACCCTCCCCTGCTCATGCTGTCTCTCTCTCTCCTAGAAATAAATAAAAAACATTAAAAAATTTTTTTAAATAATAATTCAGAATGCACAAATATTCATAGATTCAAATAAAAAAGGATAAAAGGATATTTACCACACTTTAACAGGGATATTTCCAGAAGGTGACATGACACTGCATTGCCTTGTGCTTTATATCTCTTTCACTTCTGGTCACTAAATTTTTTATAACAGTTTCAAAACTGCCATTATCATACAATAAAATTTTCTTACTTTAGCTACTGGAAAACATCACGACCTTGTGATTTTCCCAGTCTTTTCCATTCAAATACAAATTCTTAAACGAAAAAAAAATGTAGTAAAGTTTGCTATAACTGGAAGTGTTCAAATATAGATGAAACAAACATTTGGCACAGATACTACAAAGAAAATTTAAGCACCAAATACAGCGTTTGGCTACGTGACCTCTGAATGCATCTTGTGTTGTTTGCCATTCAACAGTTTTACCATAAAGCTCTTACCAACAAAATTGGAAAATTTCTGGGTGTCCTTCAAAGCCTTCATACAGTCTTTAACATTCACCATGTTGTCATCTGGAAGAAAGAAAGAGAGAAGCAATAGACAAGAATCCCTGGAAAATATAATATTAAAAAGCTCATATGAAAGTCAAAATCAGCATACAATTTCTTAAACACTTTATATACAAGATACTTGGGATTCATTTTCACCCCGTGCCTTGCAATTAACCTTACAAGATTGTAGATAAACTAGTTCTGATTCTACCTGTAAGGGAATTAACCTACTAAGAAAAGTTGTAAGTCCAATAACTTTACTTGGTACAAAGTGGCAAAGCTAGGTTTTCTATTCACAGAACTGGAATTTCCAAACTATTCATTATTCGCTAAATCATGATCTAGATTTAGCGAATAATGAATAGTAAGCCCACTTCCCACAAAATGTCTACCTGCTTGCTAAGAGTATTCTCATTAACTGTAAAAGGAGAACGTAAAAGAAAGTCTCCTCTTCAAGGACATTTACAGTAATACAAGCAAATACCTATAGATATTAGCTCAACAAAGGAGCCCATTCACTTGAACAAAAACCTTGCATGCTTTGTTCAAGTACTCCTACCCAAAACAAAACAAAACAAAACAAAACAAAATGGACAGTAATACTTAAATACTTACCAGAAACAAGATCTGAATGAAGAATTTTCTCTACCTCTTCTTCAGGTGACTTAATCCCAATATTTCCTAGAAAGCTCTCCAAGTTCTTCCCAGGTATCATGTCACCTTCAAGCCCATCAAGAACTAAGACAATGTCTTGTATCTCTAGAAACCAAAAAAAGTAATTTGGTAATTGAACTAACCTTTGATTTAAAAAACAACAATAGCCATCACTAAAAATTTTTGGCAGCGTAGTCCATGATTTATGATCCCATCTTGAACAGAAGAATAAGAAATCTCAGTGAAGAATCCGGCCCTCAGGAAACTCTAAGTCCAGCAACATGACATGCTTGGTCTGCCATGTTTCTTTGTTGCTAATATAAAATTGGCACAATCAAAATTATTCCTGTGGCTGAGTTTTTCACTGCAGTTACACAAAGTAGTTATTTTTAAATGGAGCTCTAATGGTAGCAAACAAAATTTACTCACCCTGGTTGAAGTGAAATAGATTTCAGAATCATGAGAAATGTAAAAAAGGAAACACAAGTATCACAAAGACTCATTCACCTTTTCTTTTCAATTCTACCGAGATTCAGTTGTACCCTGGCATCTGGAATTTCGCTCCATTTCCATCCCTTTCATAGGAGGCAGTGTTAAAGACATTCAAATCCCTGCTTCAGGATTTGTGACCTGAAACTATGTGACCTCGAGCAAATTATTACTATTTAACTCCTCTATCAAATTTAGTAGTCTTATATCTAAAATAAGATAATAATAGTATCTACCTCACACAGTTACTATGGAGATTAAACATATGATGTATGAAAAACACTTAAAACAATATTAGGTATATAGCAAACACTAAATGTCATATTAGTAGCAATACATTTACTATTATTTATTATTATTATTATTATTATTATTATTAAGCCATCAGTAACCAGCTGCAAATAGTAATCACAGCTTCTTAGTACCTTAGAACCTGCTTCGCTTTCTGTCCCTCTAACATCACAGGAAGGCAACTGCAAATGGCAATCTGAGCTTCGCCCACATCTAAAAACCTTTATCAGCTCTGTTTCTTTATTGTAACTAAAGCTTGGTGTTCTTAAAAAGATGGTTTCCTTGCACAGACACTGTAAGTGGAGTCTGCTCATCTACCATGCTCCACATAGGACTAGGAAGCAGAGAAACACTCCTAAATTTTTGCTGTCTGGCTATTTTAGTTCTACCTTCAATCAAACTTATCACTCCCCTGAGGTTCAGGCCTGTCATTGACCTACACTACCCTCCTGACACCATCAACTATTAGCTTTCTGATCACTTTCACCATCTTTGAGGATCTTGGTCACCTTGCTCATAATCCTCCTGCGGCCCCATTTCCCATTATCATCTGATGACAATAAGAATAACCTTGACCTCTCAACTCCAAAAAGCCTTCATTTCCTTTCCAAAGTGATCCAAACCAATGGCTATCCTTAAGCCTCATCATTACCTAGAATTGCCTGCCCAACCTCTAATATCTTCAACTATAAGATCAGATACTGACCATAATCCCTTAAAACTATGTGTATATTGAAGAAAAGCACAGAACTTTATCCACCATATGCCTATTTTCTCAGTCCCTCCAAGTTCATCAACAACAAGTCCAGGTACAGTGAACCAGCCTTATTAGTTAGTAATGAAGGGAATATTCTGAGAGCCAAGTTCTCATGTGACACTCAACCTTGCAAGCAGGCTTTTCTAAAGAGAGCAGTTTTAGGTCTGCTCTGTTAACACTTTTCTTCTAGGGTGGCTCTTCCTGACTCTTCCCTGTAATTATTGGCCTTCTATTGCACTGGGTGACAGATTCCACTGCCAACCCCCCAATCATTATGACCAACACCCAGATTCAGATACCTAAACTACACTGGTTCTCCTTTTTCAATGGTTTAATTTCAATTGTTTTTTCCTTTCTCCACATAAAAACCTATCTGTCCTGAACTCTATCTTTCTGAACTCTGTTCTCTGATTTCAAAATTAACTACCATTTACCAAGTATATAACATGTGTCTAATAATTAGGTTATGTACTTTATATGTGTTTTTGCAGTTGATCCTGACAACTCTATGAGAATAATAATTTTATTAGCTTCCTTGTTTTAAAGATGAGGAAACTGGAATGACCTATGGAGACTACCCAGCTGGTAAGTCAAAAAACCACAAAGCACCATTTATCAGACTCCATAGCCCGTGTTCTTTTCTACCTGCATGCATTGTTTCCTAGAGCTAATCTATTTCACTATACTATATTGATGCTAATTATGTTATGTGGCCCAGGTAACATATGTATATGTCAACAGGGAATTATTAAATGCTTTTCTTAACCTAAAAGAGAAACAATAATGTTAGAAATTTTATACCAGGGCAGAGTAGTTATTAAAAATTGGAAAAGTATCTATCTACTTCTTTACACCCAGAAATGACTCTGCATCTGTATCCCTAAACATATACCTATGTTGTTATTCTTTTCCTGACAGTGTTTATTAACGAAATTGAATGGTTATTCAAATAAATTGCCAGTGATATAAAGTTTTAAACTTATTTTCCAAATAGAAAAGCACACAAACTCCATGAGTATGATCTTCATTGGTTTTAGTTCTATGGTTTTAACTTTTAAGCAAAAATGGAAGTCAAGCAGTAGAAAATACCCATGCTACAAAATGCATATGGTCACTCATGTATGTTAACAAAATCCAAAGAAAGGAACATGAGGAATGTCTACTAAAGGAAGCAATAGAAGATTTCCAAGAAATTCTATAATATAGAAGCCTTTACACAGGGCAGAGTCCTAAGTCTGAGGCTTGAAATGATATAGAAAATATTCATATCTGAAAAATTATAAAGCCATTAGCTGACTCTACGTAAAGTCCAGAAGAAAAACAAAACAAACAAACAGACAAAAAAGGGATTTAAAATAGCTTTACACAGGCCCCATTCCAGAAATAGCCTTTTTTCTTTCATCATGGACACTGCCAACTTTTACTCAAAACCAAGTTTGCCTGCTTTAAAATAGATCAATGCCAACATGGTAACCAAAAATTCACAGAACTAGAAATTCTAAAACAAAACAAAACAAAAAAAACCTCCACAAAGACATCCATTCAATAAAAGTAAATTTAACAGTCACAAGCCATATAGTAGTTACCTTTTAACCTGGAGGCCTCATGAATATCCTTTACCACTTGTCCAAATTCTTCTATTTGTACTTCATCTTCTTCTGCAAGAAAAACATTTTTTTAAAAGTTTATTTACTTATTTTGAGAGAGGGGAGGAGGGGCAGAGAGAGAGGGAGGAAGAGAGAGAATCCCAAGCAGGCTCCATGCTATCCGCACAGAGTCTGACACAGGGCTCGACTCCACGACTATGACATCATGACCTGAGCTGAAATCAAGAGTTGGACGCTTAACCGGCTGAGCCATCCTGGTACCCACCGTTTTCCTTTTTAACAATACCATAGTCAAAAAAGAATATCCTAGGTCAGTAATGTTTAAATTCTTTCTCATGTTTCTAAGGCTCTGTTGAGATACTTAAGTAGTTCACGTGGTCATTTCCCCCACTTTAGTCAGAGAAACTCAACTTCTATGAGTTATATATTGAGTTACTCTGTAAGATTTCATTTAGAAGAAAAGGATTCTACTGCCTTATCAGCACCAAATATAAATACCAAACCAAAAATAACAAGGTTCCAAACTTTGCAAACCACTGCATTAAAATAAGAATTAAATCACTTTGTACATAAGATCCAATGTTGAAAGAAGAAATAGTATCACAGATGGGGTACATATATAGTTTTCAATATCATGCATATATTTGGATTTAGATAGTAGAATAACCTATATTTTACACTGAGTTTTTGCTTTGTAAGTATACAATAATGAATAGGATACTGTATGTTTTCTTTATTATCACAAGTAATTTTGTAGATGGAAGAGTTATTTTTATAGATCATAAAATGATACCTTATTGGTCTGACTAAAATAAATGCCCTATAATGCTTTCTCTGGTGCATGCTGCCTTCAACTTCCACTTACTCTATCAAGAGACTGAAGCTTCTCGGGGCGCCTGGGTGGCTTAGTCGGTTAAGCGTCTGACTTTCGCTTAGGTCATGATCTCGCGGTTCGTGGCTTCAAGCCCCGCGTCGGGCTCTGTACTGACTGCCAGCTCAGAGCCTGGAGCCTGTTTCAGAGTCTGTAACTCCCTCTCTCTCTGACCCTCCCCTGCTCACGCTGTCTCTCTCTCTCTCCTAGAAATAAATAAAACATTAAAAAAAAAAGAGAGAGAGAGACTGAAGCTTCTCAATAAAAGAGAGGGGGAAAAATCACTATTATCAAGTGGTATCCTATTTTCATGAACCCTCCTCATCTCAAATATATTGATAAACAAAACAGCCAACACACTTCAAATTCAAGATTACCAGCCTCACTTAAACAGTAGCTTAATGGAGAAAAAGGGACAGGGAATCCTCACCAGGAAAGACGGTTCTTTGGCAAAGACCGTAGACAGCATGCTCTTGTTACTAGGCTAGTTTTGCATAAACATTTCACATAAAAGAGTATAATAGTACATTTGTAACTTCAAGGTATGAAAAATATGAAGGAGTGGAAATGTTCACCTGTGGTTGTATACTACCTTTCCCCTGCATGCAGAACATCAGCAGTAAGTGATAGTCTTATTTGAAAAATTGTAGGGGCACCAGAGTGGCTCAGTTGATTAAGTGTCCAACTTCGGCTCAGGTCATGATCTCACAGCTTATGGGTTCAAGCCCCATATCAGGTTCTGTGCTGACAGCTCAGAGCCTGGAGCTGCTTCATATTCTGTGTCTCCCCCTCTCTCTGCCCCTCCCCTGCTTGTGCTCTGTCTCTGTCTTGGTCTGTCTCTCTCAAAAATAAATAAATGTTAAAAAAAAAAACTTAAGAAAAAATGTAGTCTTGGTCTTTGTTTTTCTTTGTAAACTTATTTTTTTGTTTTGTTCGAATCTTTTTTTACTTGCTAACTTAGTAGAGGTGGTAGCCACCATGAGGTCTATTTTACAGTATGGATATCTGAAGTAATGTTAATAAAAAACTGGAATAGATCTCTTAACATTTCCTAACAATCCCTTCTATGTTCACTGGGATATGTAATTTTCCAGTAACATATTACACAACTTGAAGGTAATAAATGCATATTTGATCAATTTAAAGTAATAATAAATTAGATATTAACATTTTTTTTCTGTCGGACAACCAAACAATGAGGTTCCTTTATATTTCCTAAGTGTATATATTGGCATATCAACCAAATACAAGATACAAGGAAAAACAAAGGTTGATAGAAAACAGACCCATATACTTAATATCTTTTATTGTAATATTTGGAATACTTACCATCCACTGTCGTTAATTTCAGTGCATATAGAAATTCCTTTTTTTTCAAGTTACTATTCAAGTTAGACAGAGTGTTCCACAGATGAGAAACATTCATCTTTCCTTTGCTGAGATTATGGAGGTTTTCAATAGTGTCAGGCAATACTGAAGAGTAGATAACATACAAGTTTTACAACACCCTTGTCCAAGAAGTTAGTACCATTAAGCTATTATCTGGAATAGTCAGGAATTAAGGTTTTTATGGCTAAGAAGAATAACAAATATAGTACAAATGATTGCCGATTTTAAAATATTAAAACACAATAAAGCATTTAACACCAAAATTAGTGTTTGAGGATTCTGAAATATTTCAAGAACTTATAGTGACCTACTGCTGAATAACCATTATAGAGTCATTTTCATTGAACTATAGAGTTACGTAAGTCTGAATTTCATAAACAACTCCAACTGATAAAACCATGAATTAAATAGCTTTTGCTCTGTAACTCCCTCCTACATTCTTCCCTGGATCTTACTTCCTCTTCAATTTACTACTTACAGACCATGGAAAGAAATTCGTTTTTTTTTTTTTTTTTTTTAATTCCAATAGAAAATGTCTGAAAGATTTAATGAGACATGGAGTAAAATTATCTCATTACAAATGTGTAAAAGGATCACTCTACTGCTGTATAGAGAATGGACTCTCTGGAAGATCAAGCAGTTAGGAAGCTAGTTCAGAGAAAAAGATGACAGTGGCTGCAGCAAGGGTAACAGTGATGAAGATAATGAGAAGTAGACAAACATAGGATGTGTTCAGAGAATAAAATTGAAAGTTTAAAAACAAATTTTTTAAAATTTGTTTGAGACTTTATTTTTAAGCAATCTCTACACCTGACATGGGGCTCAAACTTACAACCCAGAGATTAAAAGTTGTACGTTCTATCAGCTGGCACCAGCCAGGCACCCCAAAACTGAGAGTATTTAGTGATGAATTGAATGAGAGGCTGGGGCCCTGATGAACTCCTAGGTTTGAGAACTGAGAAGCTGGGTGGACAGTAGTGTCAAAAACTGAGATAAGAGAGCCTAGGGAAAGAATAAGATTCTTGGAGAGCAAGAATTCTTTTTTATACATATTAAGTATAAGATACATGGGGAGTCAAAAGAATAGCAATATTATTTAAAGCAGTAAGATGATTCTGTAAGAGGTTTAGAGAATGGGACTCAGAATGGATCTTGGGATCATGTTAATACTTAAAAGCCAGTCAGAAAAGAAGGAGCCAGGAAACAAGACCAAACAAGAAGAGCCAGGCCTACAATGGAATATTATTCAGCTATAAGAAGGAAATCTTGACATTAGCGACAACATGACCTAAAAGGCACTATGCTTGGTAAGATAAATCAGACAGAGAAAGACAAATACTATAAGGTTCACATCTAAAAAACCAGAACTCAGAAATGGAGTAGAATGGTGGTTACCAGGGGCTGAAGGGTGGAGAAACTGGGAAGATGCTGGTCAAAGGGTATTAACTTACAATTAGAAGATGAATAAGTTCTGGGCATCTAATGCACAGCATTGTGATTATAGTTAACGATACTGTATTATATATTTGAAAGTTTCTAAGACACGAAATCTTAGTGTTCTCAAGACCACAAAAGAAGAGGGGCGCCTGGGTGGCCTAGTCGGTTAAGCGTCCGACTTTTGCTTAGGTCATGATCTCACGGTTCGTGGGTTTGAGCCCCGCATGCTGACTGCCAGCTCAGAGCCTGGGGCCTGTGTCAGTCTGTGACTCCCTCTCTCTCTGACCCTCCCCTGCTCACGCTGTCTCTCTCTCTCTCTCTCCTAGAAATAAATAAAAAATATTAAAAAAAAAAAAAAAAGACCACAAAAGAAGAAATGATCATTATGTGATGTGATAATGCTGTTAGGTAACACTATCATGGTGATCATACTGCAATATATAAGTGTATCCAGTCAACACTTCGTACACATCAGATTCCAAATCAATTTATATAATATATAAATCTCAAACAAAGAATTAACATAAAACTGTCACACCTAATGTCTTTATGGAAAAAAAATTAAACAGGATCCCAATTTCACTCCATACATAAACATCAATATCAGGTGAATTAAAGACTTAACTGTGAAAAGAAAAAACTTAAAAACTTTTAAAATATTGGAAAATATTCCTCAAAATAGAGACAGGCTTCTATTTTCCTTATAAAGGCCGAGTTATTTGCTAAATATGAGAAGGGCTGAGGTTGGAGTAGGAATGGAAGTTTGAGAGAATGGAGATTGTTAATTAGTTGTTTCAGAAAGTAAAAAATAAACTAACTGGCGGTGGCAGGAATCACATAATTCCCAGGTAGTGCTGAGGGTCAGCAAACATTGATGATCAAGGTTTCAAAGTGTTCAGTCTGCTGAGCTATATTATTTTCTCTAGAAACGCTGTCAGCCACAAGGAGAAGCCAGGGTTGGGAGTTTTGGCAGACAGGTGCAGCCAGGGGGCAATGCAGGGTACTGAAGAGTAGGATATTTGAGGTACACAGACCCGAGATTTTAAAGTGGATAGGGAAGTGAAAACAGGGAGACTGGTGGGTAAGGACGAAGTAGCGGGGTAAATGATGCATACAGAACCAACAGACTGTCTGGTGAAGAAATGGAGTCAGATAAAGAAAAAAGGAAGAGCAGTGAATATAAATGTGCAATTTTTAAGAATGAGAAAGGAAATTTAACTATAGCTACAAATAGGATCATATACTATACAACTCCATGCTAATAAAACTTTTTATCTCGGGGTGCCTGAGTGGCTCAGTTAAGCGTCGGTCTTCGGCTCCGGTCATGACCTCACTGTGAGCTTGAGCCCCACTTTGGGCTCTGTGCTGACAGCTCAGAGCCTGGAGCCTGCTTCCGATTCCGTGTTCCCCTCATTCTGCCCCTCCCGGCTCGTTCTCTGTCTCTCGAAAATAATAAAAACATTTTAAAAAATGTTTTTTAAAAAACCCAAAATCTTTTTATCCCTGTGAAACTAAAATTCCTAGGATGAAGTGACTAGCAATGTAAATAATCTCTTCAATTAATCTATTGTGTTCCCTTGTATAGAAAGCAAATTCAATTGACTTATAAGGAAAATAACTGTTGCTTAAAATGCACTATTACCCAATAACTAAGCACAAAATAACAAAATGCTACTTTTAGCTTCAGTTTTTAAAATAACTTCACTCCATTTAAAATATACATATATGACCTTATATTTCTTTACAGTGAACTTCTGAGTGGCAAAGACTGTCTTTCTCATCTTAACAGACTGACAGCTTAACATAAAGCATATATAACAATGGCTCAATAAACATTACTGAATAAACTGGAAGATGGAAAAAAATATATAAAGAAACGAAAGTGGAAATTCTGCATATTAGTTCTCAGCTATAGTCACTAGATGGCATCACTTCCCCAAACTGGGAAGATATTTTAAATCTTCCCAAAATAAATTTTATATACATGGCTTTTTATAATAAGTGTGAGGATAAACAGTAAGCTTATGAAAACTTTCAATTCATTTGCATGTGAAAGTTGCTTTAAATTTAGAAGTCATTAGATTGAAGTCACACATATCAGCAGGAAGCCAGGTGTCCGTTGGCCTGATGACCTATAGTAAGACTACCTCTTTTAGTATATTATACTCTTCTAAAATTGGTCACACCAGTTGGTCCACTAAAAGCACAAAATATGTTGGGGTGCCTGAGTGGATCAGTCGATTAAGTGTCCAACACTTGATTTCAGCTCAGGTCATGATCTGATGGTTTGTGAGATCACACCGCGCATCAAGCTCTGCTCTGACAGTGTGAAGCCTTCTTGGGATTTTCTCTCTCTGCCCCTCTCCTGCTCTTTTTCTCTCTCTCAAACTAAGTAAGTACACTTGAAAAGAATAAATAAAATACAAAATATGATGTTCTTACGTAATTTTTCAGAGAAGCGTTCTGTATTAGTCATCAAGGTATCAATGAATTCTTTAAAATTCACTTTTTTTGTTTCTAAAGAGAAAGAATATTTTCTTCAATATCTTCAAATATTAGATTGTTATGAAAACTACTGATTTATGTAAAATAAATTATAAGGAGATAACATAATTATAACCATCAGCTAATACCACTAAAAATATATGATTATAAGAGGAAAAAGCAATTCAACATACAAGAAGAAAGTAAACACAGGGAAGTCAATCAAAATCCTTCTAGTTACAAGTGTACAACATTTTTTTATTTTAACTTACCTTATTCTTGTCCTGGCCTCACAATTTTTCAAAAGACATGTAGGTAAAGAATTAGTATATTATTTTATATATTTAAAAAATGCTTAGACATAATATGATTTTTTTCCAAGTCCATTTTAATGGACTTTTTTTCTAATAAAAATAATAGTCATTATTCTGAGGGAAAAAAGAGCTAAGTGGCCTTCTTTTCATATGTGTCAACCCAGTTTACACGTACCATCCACTTCAGTCAACTCTGTAATCTTCTCAAATTCTGGCTTAGAAAGGTAAACTCCAAAATGCTGAAGACAAGTATTCAGATCCTCATAATCAATATTTTCATCTTTAATTTTATCAGTGGCTTTAATGACATCAGTCAACACTGAAAATAAAGCAGTATGCTAATGAGTATTAAATATAAGTCAAAAAGAAAATACCAATAGTAAGATGAATTTTAGTCCTAATACTAAATAAACAAACATAGAAAGTAACTTGAGAAATGTTATATATGAAAAGAATTACCGGAATCTTTAATAGTACTGAAAAACAGTATGGCAAATTTCATGTTATGTGTTAGATACCACAATTAAACATAAATTTTAGAGGCGCCTGGCTGGCTCAGTCAGAAAAGCATGCGACAACTGGGGTTGTGAATCTGAGCCACATGTGGGGTGTAGAGATTATTTAAATAAATAAAACTTTAAAATAGTTTTTAAAAGTTTAAAATAGTTTAAAATAGTATAATGGGGGAAATGGAAGGGAAGAGTTGGCTACAACCAAGACACTACCTCACAAAAGGGCAATGAAACAGTGACTGAGTTCGTGAATGAATGATTACAAGGTAAAGCATTCAAGAAATTGATTTGCTAATAGCATGTTTAAGAAAACATCTTAAGCAACTCATCATAAGTGACAATTTATAATGTAGCTTTTTCAAAAATTTTATTTCTTTATTTTGAGAGAGAGAAAGCAAGGGGATGGGGGGGAGAGAGAGAGAGAGAGAGAGAGAGAGAGAATCGCAAGCAGGCTCTGTTGCCCGACACAAGGCTTGAACTCACAAACTGTGAGATCATGAATGGAGCCGAAACCAAGAGTCGAACACTTAACTGACTGAGCCACGTGGGCACCCCAATAATGTAGTTTTTAACATGAGACTTCATGTAAGTATAAGAGAAAAATGTCTTCCTTTGGATTAATTTTTCTCTATCTGAGAAATCTTTTGGGAAAACACAAAAAGCTTATCTTTCCTTTTTAGCATATGAATAAACAAAAGGAAATAAAAACAGCAAGGCTTACTATCTTTCATTTCTCATTTTAATATTGCTGGAAAATATTTATTTGCACAAAAATGCAAAACCATTGCAAAGCAAAATTTTTTTAAAAATGTATCATATGATTGTATGACTCTATACATTAAATAAAAATTATTTGTGCGTGAGTGAATTTAATAAATGTAAATTATGGCTCATTAGGACTCTTTTTTAGAAATGTTCTAAAACAAAGCAAACAAAACCAGTATTTCATTCAAACAAGTTCCTTATAAAAAAATTAAAAATCAAATCACCCATCAATTGCTAATAATGGGGCTAATCACCTATTTGATTTCCTCATTACCTTATTATTACATTTATGTAGAACTTTACAGTTTTTAAAATCCACATAACCATTCTGTGAGGTAAGCAAGTTAGCTATCACTACCCTAATACATCAAGTTTTATGGCTTGCCTGAGAATTTCAGGACTGTGAAATATCTACCCAAAAAGCAAACTCAGCTCAATTGAACCTCTTTTCAACCTAACCACTTCTTTCCTCCAAACCATTTTAGAATAAATTTCCTACCTACCATCATATTCAGGAAGACTTTGCTCCCTGGAGAGAGTACTCATAAAGTCATCTAACTTCACCATTCCATTTTCTGTAAAATAAAGAGTTTAGGTTATGCATTCTATTATATTTTCACATAAATGGTAAATTCATAGCTTCATACAACTATGAAAAAATTACTTCTTCACTTCATCATCATTCCATTTCTCCTTCCATATCCTGTCTCCTTAGATGAGTCTTTCTGAATTAGGTCAGTACATTTCATTTTGATAATTACTCAATAATTTTTAAACATCTATTATAAAGTGCAATGGGCTGAGCTAGGTACTCAATTCTTGATAGAGATAGGAAAAAGGAAAGGTGTCCATATAGATGGACCATGAGAAATTTAAGAAGTCTATTTCACACCATCATGAAAACCCAGTCAAGATGCTATCCATTAAGACACTTGACAATAGTGACCAAATCTGACAGACCCAAGGGTCCCCATCACTACTAACTGATCCAAATAACTACCTATTTTTATATACAAACCCTCCACAGTGATCATACCAATCCTGATAAGCAACATGAAAGAGTTCAATACTTTTAGTAAAACCTACTCCTTAGATTTTTTTTTTAAATCAAATCTTTCCTATTTGCCTTAGCTAGGAAATTTTGCTCCTAAGAATTTGCTTCTAAGAATTCATTTCTAACATATTCCCAAGTCAGTCTTTCCCCTAAAATGTTGCCTCTGTCCTCTCCTCAACTGAACTTCTGCTTAATGTGGACCGTTCTTACTTAATGATAAAACAACTTCTCTAATACAAAAGTTCTTCCTGGAAATTTAAAATCTGCCTTGAATTTAGGCTGGTGACTGGGATATATCATTTAATATCTAGGTGATAATCACCTGCCTTGATTGTTTAAATACACTAGCCCTAAATTCCTAGCTGTAGCACTTCCTTTCCAGTTTAGAATCTCCAATTATTTCTTCTTGGAACTTCAGACTATTTGCTTAGAGATTTTTGTAGCCCCTGGATTTTGTGCTCTTATTGCCTGAACCTCCCTACAACTGGATCAGCCTTCCCCAGTACCTGTCCCAGACTAGAGGGCATAGCTAGGGATAGTGATAGAGTGTTACATAAACAATTCTGAGATACAAAAGGCCTAGTCCCTCCAAACCAATCCATTAGGTCAGATTTTCCAGGAATTTTTTTCCACTTTCCATTTTTTATATTTGTTCTTTTAGAATCTTCTTCAGCATGGCCCATTCTGTTCCATTCCTAGTTGAGAACTTACTCCATCATTTAATACTATCCCATAAAAGTACCTAATTTTTTCAAAAAGTCTGGTGTTATCAGTCTCACCATTTTGAGTAGTGTCTGACACAATCTTTTTGAACTCTTTGTCTGATAAAGTAATTCCCACTGAAGGCAAAATGGACTGAAGTTCTTCTATAGTAATGTAATTTTCTTGGAGTTTATTGATAGCTTCATAGATGTTTTCTAAACATACAAAATGTAGAAGACTATTCAGCAACAGAATTTATGTATCGTAAGCAATAATTAGCACCCAAAATCTTTAGTAATTAGAAATCAAGTTTTATCTAATTATTATTACCTCGTATGACTGATTTTTCTTCATATTTCTGTTGTATCTTATATTATATCTAAATATTTCCCATATAGCTCAAACAGAAAACAATCTTGAAGTTCTATAAATATTTATAAACTACTTGTTTGAAGGAACAGCCTGTTCCAGTGGCCCAGCCAATGTTGCTTGGTTCTGATTAAAATATAATGAATGAGTTCAAGAGATCACAACAACAATGTGTTTAGTTTAATTTCCAGGATTCCAAGCAAACAATGAGAGTTCTTCCCCTTCCCATCATTTTAGTCTACCGTGCTTTCAGTTCACAATCTTCAAAGTCATAAAATCTTAGCAATAGACACACATGGCCATCGTGAGTCCCCTAATATCATTCACTGAGATCAGCATAGTATCACTTCTGTGGCATTCCCACCAAAAACGCATAACCTGAACTTATTCATGAAGAAATATAAGGAAAACCCAAAATGAGGGACATTATACAAATTAACTAGTCAATACTCTTTAAAAGTGTCACGGTCATGAAGCCATCCTAGATCAGAGGAGACTAAGGGACACATGACAACTAAATGTAATATGTGATCCTAGATGAGACCTTCAACCAGGAAAAGTACCTTTATGGACCAATTGAAAAAAATTGAATAAGGTCTTCAGAAAGTAAATAATATTGTATCAGTGTCAATTTCCTGGTTTAGTTCATTGTACTGTGGTTATACAAGATCTTAACACCTGGGAAAACTAGATGAAGAGTATATAGAAATGGCTTTACCTTGTGTAATTCTTATGATTTAAAAATTATTATAAAATTAAAAGTTAAAAATATTTTTAAATGTATATCAAATGACAGTCACATTTCAAAAATGCTCAATTACCATCTATTTATTTTGAGAAGTTATACCAGATAAATTATTTCTCTTTACACAGAATACCAAGTATGGTAATGGTAGATGACTTGGTTTTAAGGACACCAGTGAGTTAGATAAACACTTTCTTCCATAGGCTTCTTCTACCCACTGGCTCAATGCCTACTACACCATTGTTCCTTTAACCAGGGTTTTAATTCTTACTAGAATATAAAGAACTCAGAAAAAAAAAATAAAGAACTCAGAAATAGGAATGAGGCACAGAGTACTAGTAGTGCATCAATAAAGGAATCAGGAAGAACCCTGTTGTGCCTCCTTAAGAAAACATACTTCCTGTTAAACTAAGTTGTTTAAAATATGTATTACTGTATAAGAACCACTAATATTTCACCAAGCACTCATTTTAGCAATTACCTTCAATACTAAATGCAATAAAAAGGTAAAGTTTCTTTCAAGAAAATAAACAGCTTAAGTAACTTCAGCCAAGGACTACAGGAAGGAGTATTTAATTAAGTTTCATACACAGGACTTCTGTGAGAGAGGTACCATGGAAGAAGGAAAACATATATTGGTTGGGAAACCTTGCTCATCTTTGAGAAAGACCATAAAGCCTTGGGGAACCAAACTGTATAATAGTAGTTATTTTCTCTGGATAGTCCCACATCCGTAAGAGATAATATCTGAAGCATTATCATTTCATACTGGATATGGATATCATATATTTAAATTATGGAACCTGAGCAATAATTTCACATAGATACCTTGCATATTTAGTATAAAAGAAGCATTTCGAAAAGAAAACAGGCCCTCTCTTTCTAGGGAACTTGAGTGAGTCAAATTATTCCCTGAATAAACTTCTTGGTCAAAGTTAGGCATTTGAAAAAGGGAGTACAATCGTCTGGAAAGGTACAACCATCAAAACCACAATGTTGTATGTATTGGCCTATACACCAGAAGTGGCGGTTACTCAACAGCACTGACAAATGAAATGCATACAGCTGTCTAATAACTGATTAACTCAGTTTGTGTCTGTGATGACTCAAGAACTCAAGAACCTATATTTTGACTTACATATGTGATACTGACCCAGAGCATTCACTGCAATTTTTTCCTTAGATGCAACCTGTTTTAGGAGGCTGGAATGCCTTCTCACAGCTGGCTTCTGAAGTTTTGGGGTACTATAAGTATCACTTTTATCCATAGACTTTTTGAGGCTTGTAATGCTCTTCAAGTTATGTGGCGTAGACTTTGAGTCATGAATTTCAGTCTTCTCTGAACTTTTCTTAAAGTTTATCCCATCCTTTAAATATGGTTCCTGGAATCCTGTATCACTGCTATCAACCCCATTTAGGAATTTTTTTATTTGCAAAGGATTTTTTGATCTTTTAAATTGAAGGTAATCATTATCCTCCACAATTTTATGATATTGGAGTTTTTTTCCATTTAACTTTGGGAATGATGATAGTTCAGATAGTCTGGAAGATAAAACGCTTTTCTTCCTATACTGTGAATAACATGCTGCTATATTTGATAACTTTCTGCTTGAAGTAGATTTATACAAGGCTGATGACTCCATAACTGCTAAACAAGAGAAACATATGTAATTACTTTATTTACCTGTATAATTTGTAATAGTTTTTAAAAAATAATAACTAAGTCTTCATGAAAGCTATTCAAGAAATTATCAATTGCTTAAATAAACAAAGTTTACTTAAAAAGTTAAATAAAACAAAATTAATATATGGAAAAACTAACAGAACTGATAATATTAACTAGGTTAAATATAATCTTCTGGTTTAATATATTTAAATTCTTTTATCCAAAGCTATTTGAAGTTACACCAAATCAAAAATGATAGCCTCCTGAAGTTTGTAGTTCTCATTCCCCACTCCACCAATTTTGAAAGATAATAGGCTAAATACGCCAATACAGCTACAAATCCCTTAGTTACGAGCATACTGAACTATAAGGAAGTTGGAGTGGGGAAATTTTTATATATAAAATCAGAAATCAGGGACTCCTTGGTGGCTCAGTTTGGCTTGGGTCATGATCTCACTGCTTGTGGGTTCGAGACCCCATTGGGCTCTGTGCTGACAGCTCAGGGCCTGGAGCATGCTTCAGATTCTGTGTCTCCCTCTCACACTCTGTCCCTCCTCGACTCATGCTCTGTCTCCCTCTCTCTCAAAAATAAATGAACATTAAAAAAATTTTTAATTGAAAATCAGAATACAAATATTTACTCTCCTAAAGGTTCTCAGTAGTTGTGGGAAAAAATAGTTTATATGTAAAATAACCTCTTCAAAAAAATATTAATACAATGTCTCACTGGGGCTTCCTTTATAAAATTCATCTGATGGCTCAGAATAGTATCTTACATTTGAATAACACATTTTAAAGTATTTCAAGTGTTATAACACCTGATTTTATAATAGACTATTATTCTCTTAGAAGTTAAAAATATGTTTGATCATTGAAAGCAAAACTTATAAACATTGTCTGGTGTTTTCAGTGTGTGTAGTAGTAATACATAATAAAATCATAGCTTATAGGAGGAAGGGTAAAAAGAGCTATATAATGGTAAAACTTCTATATTCCACTTGGAGTGGAAAAATATTTATTTTAGTATACTATAAAAGGTTAAGTATGTATACTATAATCCTTAAAACAACCACTGGAAAAATGCAGATATAGTGAAAATACATATAGAATAAGTTAACATACTAAAAAATGTTCCAAAATAAAGACAGAAAATGATTGAAAAACAGAGGAAAAAGTAGAAAATGAATAATAATATGGTATACCTGGTCTGAATGTATAAGTAATTACATTAAATATTAAAATACAGGGATTATACAAATAAATACAAAAAACATCACCCAACTCTATGTGGTTTACAAAATACTTCAAATATGGTGATACAGGAAGGTTAAAAGTAAACAGACGAAAAATATTTACCATCTAAAAAAATAAATAAAAATAAAAATATTTACCATCTAAGCACTAATCAAAATAAAACTAGTTATATTAGAATCAGAAAAAGTAAATGTAAGAGAAAAGAAAATTACCAGTGATCACATACATACTGCATAATGATAAAAGAGTCAGTTCACCAAGATATAACTATTCTAAATGTGAATTCACCTAGCAGCAGAATTTTGCATGAACCCAAACCTGACAAAACTGAAAGGAGAAATAGACAATTATATTTGGAGAAAATATTCCTTTCTCCATAGAACTCGTAAAAAATCAGCAAAGATACAGAAGAAATGAATAATATAAATTATTATGCATGGGAGTGGGTATGTGATTATTAGTAATATCTATTTCAGAAAAGAAAAATTAATGAAAAAACTTCTACACCAAAGACAAAATTAGAATTCAAAATAAACTTTTAAACTTTCAGGTAGTAATAGCAAATTGAACAGCCTTCAAAAATTCCATTTAAACTAAAGGAAGTTTTGGGGCACCTGGGTGGCTCAGTCAGTTAAGCATCGGACTTCGGCTCAGGTCATGATCTCACAGTTTATGGGTTCGAGCCCCACATCAGGTTCTGTGCTGACAGCTCAGAGCCTGGAGCCTGCTTTGGATTCTTTGTCTCCCTCTCTCTCTGATCCTCTCCTGCTCACGCACTCTCTCTCAGAAATAAATAAAACATTAAAAATATAGCCTTGGAAAACAAAACAAAAGCAGTTTCAGGCAAAGTCAAGAGTCAGAAAACTTTGCACTTCAATGGCAATATTGAAAACTAGAAAATCTAGAAAATTATTTACAATCTAGAATTCTGAACCCAAACTATCAATAAAATATGAAGACAGAATCTGATATAGGAGGAAAGAAGTGAAAAGTCTCCAGCACATTAATAAAGAAAGATCCCAAGATGACAGTGGCACACAAAATGTAGAGGGCAACAAATTCATACTAAAGAACATCAAAATACCCTGAAGAAGAGTTCTTCAAGAAGACAAATCTAGTAGAATACCTTGTGCAGAAAAACTTATGAAGAGGATATTTAGACAGTTGGCAGAATTTAAGGTTCAATCAATAATATGTATACTTTTTTTTAAAACCAAGCAAGTAAATAAATAAGACCATTCAAAAAGGGAAAAATTGTACAGAAAGAGAAAGTAACCACAAGATACTTACCACCTGAGGCTCAGCGGTGAATAGTGCGTACATAAACATATTAACATAAATACAGAATTAAAACTTATTTAATTACCATATGACTATATTAGGAAGATGGATAGGTATGGGAAGAGTAAGTGGATACGGTGGAACAGGTAAGATGAAACAGAGCTAATTTCTTATTTTTCATATTAGGGAGTTTACTAGGTCTACCCAAAATTTAAAAAAAATCAACAGGTAGCAATACAAACATGTTATTTACAGTCATGAAGACAAATATCAAGTAATCAGCTAAGATGTTTAAAATGTTTGCCTCTGGAGAAACTGAGGAAAGGATCAGGCAAGAGGCTGTTCTATTTGCAGCAAGCTTATTAGGACTATATAATTCTTAAAATTATATACATAGATAATCTTGACCAAAGGATGTCCAGACAGAGAAAGAAAAGGGAATGACATGATGTGCAACAGGAAGAGATTTAAAAAACGTACTTAATGAAGAAAAACAAAACTAATCATGAATGATACTAAAGAATATACTAAATTTTTAAAAAAGTTTTGAATGTTCATTTATTTTTTAGAGAGACAGAGTGTGAGCAGGGGAGAGTCAGAGAGAGAAGGAGACACAGAATCTGAAGCAGCCTCTAGGCTCTGAGCAGTCAGCACAGAGCCTGACATGGGGCATAAACTCATGGACCGTGAGATCACAACCTGAGCCAGAGCTGAACACTTAACCGACTGAGACACTCAGGCACCCACTACACAAAAAATTTTTAACTGTTAGTGTAAGGATGTCAGAATGACTCATAAATTGCAAATTACATTTTTTCCTCAGTGTTACTATTTGTTTTGAAGTTGACTTCATGTTGCAAAATATTAAGGGAAAGATAAAAGTAGAAAATTATGAGATAGTTATAAAATCAACATTGATTAGGTATATTTAGGATATTAAATTCTTATCTACCTAAATTCTGAGTTTGAGTAATGGGTTCAGAGAAGGCTTTCAGAATCCATATAATAAAACCTACAAATTAGGATTTAATTTAAAGGCAATTTACTTATAAATAATACTTGCTATAGCAATGAGAGCTCACTTACAAAACTCTTCATACTGGTGCTGTAGTTCATTCAAATTAAATAGAATATCTCTAATATCCACCATGTGGTTATCTGTAATAGAAAGAATAAGTTCAAGCACTGTTATTTCTTTTTTGAACACAAATCTAGCTTCCATCCCATTCTAATACAATATCAACACAGAGATGTGTGAAAGTAGGAACAGAGATTGGGAATAATATCTGGAATTGTTAATAGTGAAGTACACACTGTAACATCAAAGACCATTATTTTCTTTTTTCCTTAATATGAATTTCCCATCAAAAGAAATTAGCCACATTTTAAGCTCCAAAGCTAGGTAATCAGGTTAATTAATTCTATTCATTTAATAAACAGTTTTTCAGAATTTACTATAGGTAGAATTTCAAGTTTTAGCTCTTTTGTCTTTCTCACTAGATTGTGAGCTCTTCCAAGAGTAGAGGATGTCATTTGTTTCCCTGATGCCTAGCAAATTATATACTTCCTAGCACTTAAAAACTAATTTTTTTAGGGACACCTGAGTGGCTCAGTCAGTTGCGTGTTCTACTCTTGATTTTGGCTCAGGTCATGATCTTACAGTTCAGTGCAGAGCCTGGTTGGGATTCTCTCTCTCCTTCTCTATCTGCCCCTCCCCAGCTTGAGTTGTCTCTGTCTCTCTCTAAATAAATAAATAAACTTTTTAAGAAGTTATTTTTTAAAAATTATTATTTTTTAATGTTTGTTTATTTTTGAGAGAGAGAGAAAGAGTGGGTAGGGGCAGAGAGAGAGAGGAGGACAGAAGATCTCAAGCGGGTTCTTTGCTGACAGCAGAGAGCTCGATGTGGAGCTCGAACTCACGAACCATGAGATCATGACCTGAGCTGAAGCTGGACGCTTAACCAACTGAGCCACCCAGGTGCCCCTAAAAATTATTTTTGAATGAATACAATATACTGAAGGCTGTAAAGATGTCTACATTGTCGATGGCAGTATTTACTTAGCACCTTACGTGTGCCCAGCACTCCCATAATTATAACTTCCTACCGTTCTGCCCTTGCCATACGTTTTCCTTCTTGTATGACAGAAGACGGGGTCAGAGACAGTAATAATGTCATTTTAATTGCACACAGAGGTAGAAAATGCCGAAGAGTTCTTGCCTCAAAATGTTTGACTTTGCTTGACATCCAAAGTGAGAAAGACCAGGAGTTGACTTACTTAATTGTAAAAATACTAGGTTTGTTCTTCAGTCTATGCATAAGAAATCAACTATTCAATTATATGCATCAGCAAAGACCCTGAAAAAAAGGTGCCAGGTTTTAATGTGCCTTTTGAGTCAAAGAATTATATACACTAATGGTTCTGGTGTTGGATAAGTTTAATTCATTACGATTCTTTGAAAATTGGTAAACTATGTCAGGTTCAGGCCTTTAAATTACTGGAAAGCAAGTAAATATTTGACCCAATCAAAGAAGTGCTAGACCAATTGATGCTTAGTTGTCTTCTGATTAGGAACTGCTTCTTATATTCTGTGTTTTTTTTTAATTTCCTTGGTATTAATTCTCATTCTCTTCTTGATTGTGGTTCTAACACCCCAGTGAACTCCTGCAACTTTTGTAGATTGAGCCCATGTCCCAAGTTCTTAGATCAAAGAATAAGTCCTAAAATAATTCAAGGCTTCAGCCCTCAAACTCTTGAATTTGATTAGTGAAAAGTATTCTGTTGGATCGTCCATAAATTAATCCAATGTAGAAGGCTGTATTGTTTATATCTGCTCTCCACTTAAAGAACTCTGTTTTCCAGAAAGAGGTCCAAAATTGAACATACAGTACTCAACCATTTATAGATTTATTAGCTTTTGCTCAAATTTATTCCTTGCTTCTAAACAATGACAAGTACCTGTCACAAACCTCTAAAACAAATACTATCTACTTATATAGTTCCTGGTGGCCAAATAAGCATTACAGAATCTGAAATTACTATTTCGGTCCCTATTTGGCTTATCAAAACCTCAGTGAATAATTCCTGGTTTAGACTGAGACAATCAATATAGTTAAAGGTACCATTTAATTCATAAGGGAAGTTCAAAACAGCCTCCCACTCTTACATATGTACTTCTGGAGGAAATTTAACCGGGAAAATGTAACTACCTAATGTAAAAAAAAAATTATCCTAATCATCAAAGTCATATTCAAGGCAACATTACTTTGAAGGTATAAAATGACTACTAACACATTTCCATAAATGCCACAATAGCTCCACAATATCAAATACCTTCTCTATCAAAAATCATGCTAGTTACTACTTTTCACCCAGTTCAATTACCAGATTAGTAACTGCCACGAGAGAAAAAACTGCTGCACCAATATCCTATTTCAGAAACCAAACTACCAGAACTGTCATCAGACACTCCCAGAACTGTCATCAAGTAATTTTCCATATTCCTCTTGACATATCTTAATGAAGCAAATGTTTGTTGGACTTCCTTGCAAATTCCAGTGGCATTCCTCTTCATCATGCATACTCATGAAAATGAACATATTCTCCATGTATCATTATTACTCCAAAAAACCAAACCAAATACAAAAACCAGATGTTAAACCAGTACCTATAACACGATGCTATGGCTTCTACTAGTGGGACAACTGAGTTATATCACTCCTTACTTCAAAATTCTGTTACAGAAGAATCCATATCTCCTACCCGAGGAACCCAAAACTTTTGGCATCTAAGGTTGTCCTTTCTTTTAATGTTTAAGTAAAATAGCTCAGACCCTACACCATACATTATATGAACAACAATCAATACTCCCTCCAAAATTTGAGGATTCCTGAGTGTTTTATACTCTTGCACTTGATTTTTGTTTTGTTTTCTATTCCCATGGACTCCTGATTACACTATCTTATCTTACATTATCACATTCTATAGGTGCTATCTTCTCTCCACCCCAAGCCTACCTAACACAGAACCTACAGACCTTTTTTTCTTTAAGTCCACCTACCAACGTTATCAACACAAGGCTATTGTATATAACCAACTTTTACTAGATAACTTGCAATTAATGAGAGTAAGGGATTTCTTTATAGCACAGCAAGCACTACACAGTATTGTCCTAGAGTTCTACAGCCACCCTCTATTGATTGCTAGACCCCCATTCACTCTTAGGTTTTCTCAATGTTCCTCTTCCAGATGCTGATTAGCCACTGTCATATTCTAAGTTCCTATTGTTTTCTTATATAGAGTACTTTACCTTACCTTTTTTGCTCAACCTCCCAATAGGCTTTAGCTCCCATAATCAAACATACCTATCAAAATGATTTTCCTTGTCAAAAGACAAGGACCTTTCCTATGAGGAATTTTACCTTAAGTCACAACCAGCTTATTAAAATGACAGGATGAAAAAATCTTGTTCTCTCTGGTTGGGGGAAATGGAGTAAAGGGTGAGACTGATTAACTCATTCAACATATATTTGTTGAGCAGTTAATACGTGCTATAAGCACTGTACAGAGTACTGAGGATACAATATTGAGAAAAAGTAGACACAATATCTGCTTTCCTGGTACTTAGTCTTATTTGAGATACAATCTTCATTAAAAAAACAAGAAATAAAAAATTGCAACTGTGATTAGTGCTGTGAGAGTGTAGGAGAACTTGACCTAGTCAGAGAAGTCATGGAAACACCCTTAAAGAAGAGAGGTGAATTTAAATCTAAAGTATAAGTAGGAATTAACTAGGAGGGGAAGAATGTTCCAGGAAAAGAAAAGAACATATGCAAAGGCCATGGCAGGAAGAGGCATGGTATATAACTGAACTCTAAGAAGGCACAGTAAGCAAAGCAGAATGTGGTCTTAGATAAAGCTGGAGATCTAGGGTAAAGGCCAGACATTGCAAGTCCTTGTACATGACATTAAAGGGTTCTTCATCCCAAGAAGTATTATTAGATTTTATGTAAGGTGGTAACATGATCAGATGTGTGGTTTTATTTACCTTTTTAAATTATGTTTATTTATTTTTGAGAGAGAGAGAGAGAGAGTGCAAGCAAGGTAGAGGCAAAGAGAGAGGGAGACACAGAATCCAAAGCAGGCCCCAGGCTCCAAACTGTCAGCACAGAGCCCGACATGGGACTCAAATCCACAAGCCATGAGATCATGACCTGAGCCAAAGCCGGACGCTTAACTGACTGAGCCACCCAGGCACCCCTCAGATGTGTGTTTTGAAAAGATCATTCTGGCTATAGTGTTAAGGGGGATAAGACTGGATGTGGGTTGACTTGTTAGGATGAACAGCGGTGGTCCTAAGGAAAAATTATGGTAACTTGGACTAAGGTAATATTGGAAAATAGACAGATTTAAGAGGTACTTAGAAGTTTAAAATAATAGTAATTCACGATGATTGCATTTGGAGAACAGAGAAAAAACAGAGCTGTCAAGGATAATGCCTAGGTTTCTGTTTCACATTTCTTGAGACTATTCTAGGTGCCAATAGGTTCTATTTCATTCCTACAACAATCTATGAAATCAGCATAATTTTTCAGTTTAGCTCCCCAAATAAAGTACAAGGCCTGGAAATCCAGACCAGAATTCCATAAGCCAAAAAAAAAAAAAAAAAAGTGCTGCAGTGGTTTCATATATAATTTCTGTTGCTTCTGGTAGAGCATTCCCTAAAGGCTATTTAATAATCTGACTTGAAATAATCTTTAAATTTCTTTATTAATTTTTTTTCTTAAATTAAATCTTTAAAATTCCTATTTTATGAGCATCTTCATACCTCAGAACATCCCTCCACTTATGTCTATCAACCCAGAACTCGCCATAAATGACAACCTAGTAAAATCCATGCAGCCTAATTCTATCTTCACACCACATTTCAGCAACCAAAGACCCACTAAAAAGCCACTACTAACAAATGACAAAACCCAGTGGAAGCCCATGGAAAAGATGTCATGTCTTATGATGTTTCTGCCATATGTTCCCTCAGTCTAAAATATTTTTCTCACTCTTCATTACCACCTTCAACCAACTAACCCCTACTGATCCTTCAAGATTTAGCTCATATATCACATCCTCTGATTATCTTTCCCTAGTGTTTCCAGTATACA